TTTCCTTTAAATTATTTATATTATTCATTAAAATAGCCCTTAACATATCATATTTTCTATTCCCTTGTTATTTTGATTAATTGTTGTAATTTTATATATGTTATTTAACTATTTAAGGCATATCTTCTATTGTATTGTCTAACTCTTGTTTAAAATATTTGCTAACATTCGATTAGTTTTTTCCATAATAATCATTGCATTATTTTTGATTGAATATAAACCTCAAAGGCTTCTCGATTTTATAAAAAGCACTATGAAATTTACGAATATGATTTTATGCAGAATAATTTTGAGTTTTATTGTACTTAGATCTATTTTGTTTACATTTACTATCGAAACATATTCCCAATGAACTATTAAAAAATTTCAAAAAAATTAAATGTTCATTCAATATATGTTATAAAACAAAATTTATTTATGTATCTTCTAATTTGCAAGTTATGCAATCAAATTCTTTTTTTTTATATTAGCCAAAATCTATTAAATTTAATATAAATTATAAAATGATTTTTAACACTTTGTTTTCTTAAACTAAGTGAAAAGCACAATTAAAACAATAACTTGTTTTTAATGTAAGGATATTTTTTATCTCAAAATCTATATCATCATTAGCTTATAAACTTTACAAATCAATTATGAGTTTTTTTATAAAAAGCATCTTTTACACACAGCTACTTAATTTTTTTCATTAAATGCTATTTCATTTTCCAAATTTTCCATATTTTATTTCATATTCATTTAATATTATTGTTATAGGTTAATCATCGATTAGTTACTTACAAATTAATATTATTCATATGAATATAATAAGTCTGACCATTATAATGAGTCTATTTTTAAATTAAATACTTATGGTTAGAATCCATCAACATTAACCCAGTATGAATCAGAATATGTTTTTATCATAATTTAACATTTAAAGCATGTCGCTTTAAAACAATATTATAACTTTTATTATTTCAAATAATTAACAATTAAATTCTTAAATTTTGATTTATGATGATCGTAGCAATGAAAGTATATTTGCTCTATACTGTTGTTAAATAAATTATTTTCATTGCATCTATTATTGCATAAGCAATATAAAATGCCTTGATGTCCTTGAAAATAGTGATCAAAACATTATCTTAATGTAGTAAATTAGTTTTTACAGTAAATCCCATTAAAAATACAACTTTTATCAAAATAATTGTATTTAGAATTCATTATTAAACTAAAAAAAGCTACTCCCTTAATAAATTCTTCCAATTCTTTAAGAAAATAATCAAATTGATTTTATGTTAATTTATTATTATAATATCCTAACAACAATCGATTATATAGAGAAATCATTTCATTCTATTGGTAAATTAATGTCATAATTTATTCTTAAAATTCTAATGTATATATGTTACTCATATTTGAGATAAAATTAAAATCTTTTGGTAACTTTAATATTT